TTTTCATAACAAGGATACTTAAGTTAATAATACAGGGTGTCCCATCCGGAACCAAAACGATCTATCATATGAAAAACTGTATGCAGAAAATTTTTGAAAATTTGATAGTTTACTATGATACTAATGTCAATGGGGACAACCCGGCTAAAATATTTTCAAGAATGTGGCTCTTGATGCGGTTATGCCGGCAGTAGACGTCAACTTGCTTATTTTAAATGAGACGTGATTGCCTGCTATTTGGATTCTACGTAAAATTCTGAACAGATTTCATGTGATATACCTACCGTATACCTAAGTTCAACTGTTTTGGAATTGTTAGTTGAAAATTGACTTTTTGCAACTTTGATAAGCTGTAAAACCTGAACAGTTAATTTTAGAGGAAAAACTATTATTTGACACCAACTTTGAATTTAACCAGAGATTAGATTTAATTGGAATTTTTAATCATGGATTAAATTCAAAGTTGGTGTCAAATGATAGGTAGTTATAAAAATAAAAAGATAGCAATGTGAAATAGGCTTTCCTCTAAAATTAACCATTAAGGTTTTACAGCCTGTCAAAGTTGCAAAAAGTCAATTTTCAATTGTCAATATTTCTAGACCAGATGAACTTAGGTATAGGGTATATCCTCGGGTATATCACATGAAATCTGCTCAGAATTTTATGTAGAATCCAAATATGCAATGACACACAGGGTGTCTCATTTAAAATAAGCAAGTTAACATTAATTTCGGTATAATCGGAAGTACCACCCTCTTGAAAATATTTTAGCCGGGTTGTCTCAATTGACATTAGTGTACAGGGTCATTTTTTATATGTTTCCACCCCCTTAACTCTTTTAAGGTGTAGTGCTTGAAAAATAGTTCTCAGAAAACATAGTTTTGTTCATACAGGGTGTTGCAAAAAGTTAAAAAAAATTAAAAAAAATTTAAATGGGATACCCTGTATATTATGACATTTCTGGATTCTGCGGAAAATTCTAGACATATTTCATGTATAATGTCATATACCTATCTTGAACTGTTTCGGAAATAATGACAGTAGAAAATTGAATTTTTTGCAACTTTGAGAGGCTGTAAAACCTAAATTGTTAATTTTATAGCAAAACCGATTTTACATTCTTGTCTACAGCTTTTCATAAGCTAGCATTTGACACCAACTTTGAATTTACCCGGAGATTAAATTTAATTGGAATTTTCACTCATGGATTAAATTCAAAATTGGGTCGAATGATATTTTATAAAAAAAAAAGACAAGCATGTATGATCGGTTTTGCTGTAAAATCAACCGTTTAGGTTTTACAGTCCGTCAAAGATGCAATAAAGTCAATTTTCTACTGTCATTATTTTCGAAACAGTTGAAGATAGGTATATGACATTAAACTTGATATATGTCTAGAATTTTCCCCAGAATCCAGAAATGTCATAATATACAGGGTGTCCCTTTAAAAAATATATATTTTTTTGTTTTTTCAACTTTTTGCAACACCCTGTATGAACAAAACTATGTTTTCTGAGAACTATTTTCCAAGCACTACAACTTTCCTATTTAATTTTTTTTATACACAGTGGCACAAAAAAGTTAAGGGGGTGGGAAAATATAGAAAATGACCCTGTACATACTGTCAAATTTTCATAAATTTTCTGCATACAGTTTTTCATATATAGATCGATTTGATTCCTGGTAGGATACCCTGTATGGACACATTATAAATTGTCAACTCTTTGTCTTACATACACGCCCTCTCAAATCTGAAAGTCTTGTTGTTCAGGAGTAGGTACCATACCTGGAATCAGAAACCTCAAAACTCAAGCGGATATGTTCACAATTAACAGATGGACTTCAGGTCCACATTCAAGATGGAGGAGCAAATAAGCAATGCAAATTTCAATCCGACAATTATTGGAACTGCTTCTAAAAAAAAGGCTCATTTAATGTGTCTCTGAGCACTCGATGACAAATGAATCCCTGGCTATTAGCTAGCAACAAAATTCTACAGGTCGAAGCACAATCATATGGCGGTTCAGCCATCTACACCAATCAGTTCTGAGGGCGATTATTCAAGAATTCCATCATGTGATTTGAAAAACAAGCATTTAAGTGATTCTAGAGATTGCTCGATTAAATGGACACATTTATTAATAACTCATTAATACTAAGATCGAATTAATAATGCATCTGATAAATGAAAAGAGACATGGAAAATTGTCAACTCTCTGCATGGTAAGCAGAAGCACAACCATGTACATTTATCTAGTGATCTGAGGGTTGACCAGTTGAACATCTATTTTTACAGCTTAGCCTCTAAGCTTTCAAAGAACATTCCTAAAACTATGCCATCAGAACGTTTTCTGCTTCATGTGTCTGAATCGTTTTTCTTCTTGCCGACTAGTGATGCCAAAGGTCCATATTTAGGGGGATGGAGAAAAAAATCCTCGGGTTGGGACACAATATCTCTGAATGTTATTCAAGCCCTGCCTGATCGGCCTTTGGCTTTATAGGCATAGATTCACCATCGCTAAAAAGGCTATTATAGTGATGATTTCAAAAAAGGGAGATACAAATGAGGCCTCTAGTAAGCTATGGGGCATTACTTCCTAGCTTGGCAAAGATTGTGGAGAGGCTGGTTAAGGTGAGAATACTTTCATTAATAAACATGGTCTTTTGGACCCCCATCAGTTTGGGTTCCAAGAACACAGATGATGCCATCTTTGGCTTGGGGGCTGTATCTTGAACTCAACGTACGGGATACAGCAGCCTCAGTGTTATGTGATTTGTCGAAGGCGTTCGACTGTGTTGATCACGCCATCCTCTGGAATAGGTTCATTCCTGTTTATCGGGTCGGGTGCAGAGGGTGATTTTCAATAACTCCAGTTCAACAGAACGAGCGTCACGAGCGATATCCACAGGTGACCCTCAGGTCTGTGTTTTGGATCCCCTGTTTTTTTTGCTACACTTGCCTATCAGGTGTGAGTCGGAATGGTGAAATTCTAATAATCTTTCACTTAATGTTTCTAAGACCAACATTTTTCAATATTAAATGTGAGTTGGGTGACAACGTGTTGGATGACGGAAAGCTGTCCCGTTCAAGCACTATGAGGTTCATGGGACTGCAAACAGATAGCGCCTTTAAATTCCAAAACCATATGGCACAGTTGAGCAATAAAATTTCTTCTGGTTGCTCAGAGTGCTCAGAGTAACTTTTTCAGGCTTTGGTGGTCTGAGTCATAACTTTACTTAACAGTCTGAGAGGAAAAATTTAGGCAGCAAACACCAACAAGATACAAACTGCTTGAAGCAGAGCATATAAAGCTTCAAAAAGCATTAAAGCAACCTACAGTTGGTTTAAAGTATAGGTGATTAGCCAAGTTATTCCTGGGAAGAATAGAAAGAGATAGCCTAGACCTCAAATTCGAATTCAAATTACCCCACAGCAAACAACAAGCAAGAAGGAAATAACTTGTAGTGGAGCTAAGAGTGATCCTTCCTCGGATCGTTCCCATCTTGTTTATGTTCAGTGGGTTGAAAAGCAGGTGCTTAAACAATTGTGGGTTACAGCAGGGTTTCTCCAGAGTTTTTCGTTCTTCATCCTGTCTGATATCAATGACATCAGTGGTTTTTGTTACTATGACCTGGCATCACAAATACTCAAACATCCTTAAAGATACCTTGATTAAAGATCTAATCCAAACGAAAGATTGGTTTGCTCAAACCTGTTGCTCTCAATGAGGTTCAAAACAAATGTAATGGATTTTAAATGTACTGTACACAGTGCAACCATTGATAGACAGATTGATGAAAACTGAATTCCTGGGTATCCATAATGAGGGCGAGTTAAAGTTGGAGCAACATACTCAATTTATCAAGGAAACTATCTCATGTGTGCTACCCAATGGGATGGGAAGAGTCGCAAGTGAATTGAATCCGCCTAAAAACTTATATTTTGCGGTGATATAGACTTATCCAAGGTAAGGCATATCTCCTTTTCGGCATCCTGTTCCCACACGCGCTTGAAGTCTCTGTTGTAAAATAGAGCTTTGAGATACCTGTAAACGACCTTTTGTCCTCCACAAGATATTAGCATTTCTACATACAACAGCAGGAATATGGTGAACCTGAACAAACTGCCATTGTCTACACTGCTAACGAGTTTTTTTTTTGCAATAATGTTACGATTACTTTTATTGCCTTATGAATATAATTTTGAACTTGCTCTAGGTTAGTGAGATGTCTATATTTGGACAATAAAGCTTGAGTGATTTGATTTAATTTGAAAATTAAGGTGCTCCACTTCAATTGCAGTGTAAATTATTATTCCTTACCTTTCGGGTCTACCGAAAAAGTGTGCATTGAAATATAGAAGAAAAAATCTATTAGCTGAGTAAGGAATTTCTATTTCATGCTAACTTTTGTTTGAATAAAAAACAAAGGCATAGAAGCAATTAATAACAAACCTGCGAAAAAATAGCTTAATTCTTTTGCATGCTTTGTAGTAAGTATTGTATTCTCTTTTTTTTAGCAATAATAATAGAAATCGCAGAAATGTCTAATTACGTCATGATATAATTTTACCCTCATGCACAAACAAGACCAATTTCGGGTTGTTGTTCCTCCCACATTACCACATTCTAAGATATTTTCGAATTAAATATTATTTTTCAATGTGGGATGATGTCAGCAAATGGATTAACTGGGCGGTTTATTTTAATATTTATTTCAATAAATTGTTTATTGAAAAATAGGGTACCTACTGCAAGAAATACTGATGCACTTGCTCTGGCTGATATTTAAATTAAGCATGCCTAAATTTTAAATTTATATGCAAATGTTGAAAAGTAGGTGAGTTAGGTATTGCACCAATAAATATTTTCAGTTTTAATTATTAGAAATTGATCACGCCATGCTTGGATTGAGATATTAAAATTAAAATTAAAAACGATATTTTCCTTTTCCATTCCATCGAAATCGGCCTTGTGTGAAATTTTTATACACTCACTAACCTGGAAATGTAAAATAATCGTCCATATTAAACCTAGGGTCAGCTTAGGATTGCCATCTACAATGTCTTCAGGTCGGATATTGACTAGCTTGATTTTTTTGCAGCGTAAGAAATGCAGTGCTATTTCGATATTTTGAAGCATATGGAAGCGCATTTGGCCTTTCTCTCTCGGCTAGAAAAAAAAGAGACAATAAGTTCAATCATACATATTGAAAATTTTACTTACGAGTTGCTCGCCACTCAAAACTTCCAAGAGAGAAATTAGGTTGTGTCCATCTCGCAGGTCTACGAAGAGATCTCGAATGTTTCGTCTTGCCTGAAAGCATAATAAAAAAAGTCAATCAAAACAAGACCAAAAATAATTCCATTATAACAAAACAACAAAAATTCTGCAAACTCTTATTGTAATTTGCTGTTTATTCAAAATAGGTAACTAAAGTGGGTGCGAAAAAACAGAAACACAAATCATGCTGCACAACACTATTGCTTTGACTTACAATGGGACAACAAGGGCTGTTGTTGATATAAACACATACATGGAGACAGGTGTAGGTCTGAAAACATTACAAGAAAAAACATTGGCATCAATAATGGATCGATTTAGACTAGACTTGGGTGAAACATGGTAAAATGCAAATATAATTAATTTAGTAAGTATTAAAAAAAAGTTGACTATTCGATAGCGCCTTCGCCCGACTATCAGGATCAGCATTTACTTAATTCCTGCAGTAAATTTCCTTATACATTCTAATGGGCTTAAACAGCAATATCCTTATTCTCTGAAAAGACGTAAATCTTAATTTTCCATATTTAGTCAGGGTCGGATAGTTTGCCATCGCTTTACTAACAAGCATATTTAACCAATAAATCTTGATAAGTCCAACCGAAATAATTTATGCACTAAAATTGTTCATGCGTGAGATTCCTTGATCAAGTGAATATAACTATGTTGTATTTTTGTTTTGTCTTGGGCCTTGCATAAAATCCAATAAGGCTAAGCAATTTTTTTAAAGGGGTGAAAACTACAGTAACTATCTTAAATTAATATTTATTATTCGTAATTTAATGTGTCAGATAGCAAAATAAACTTGTAGCTTTAACATGAAATTAGCTCTTTATAAGGATTTAGCTATGGGAAGTATGTCCATTAACTAGCCTAGAATTTTTATTATTGAATATTTCTAAGGTTGGAGAAATATGAGTACAAATATTTTTTTAAATCAATAATACTCCTTTTACCGTTTGATCATTCATCGAACTAGTCATTGGCAGTTATAAATAATAATAAGGCAGATTTAATTAATTTTATCAATGCAAAACGTAGACCAATGACTCAGAAGGACGAAATAATTAATAAATAAGTATGTATAGGAACCTAATTTGTGAACATGACAAAATTTTGTATAGGTAGGCATGATTGATACTTTGATCAGCAATTAACACACACAAAAAATTAGTGAATATCTATAATTGGTGAAGTGATTTCTATGTCGCTTATTTGAAAAATTACATGCTTTTTCAGAATTACATAGTGTACCTACTTATACTCTAGAGAAATATAGTTATATCTTCTCGGGAATATTTAGTGCGCAATAAACATTAGTTCCAGCTCATTAATATTAATTAAATCAATGTGTATTCCCTTATAACTGATTTAGCTACTGGGCATGCAATCCCATTAATTTTTTTTTTTATATTTGATTATCTACCTACACACATTTTTTTATGTCTATCAACTTAGCGAGACAACTTCGAAAAATCGATTTTCCATTATGCCAAGAATTTGCCGCTTTTTTGCCGCTAATTAAATGTGGAATTAAAAAATTTGCCGCTCATTTGGTTTTTTCTTAATTACGTGTTTTGCTAACTTGACGTCAAGATAGCGAGACAACATCACTAAATATGTCAGCAGTAAAAAATTAGGTATATGAAAATTTGCCGTTTTTTTGCCGCTAATTAGTTGTGTAAACCAAAAATTTGCCGGTTCTTTTTTTTTCCATAAATAATCAAGTTTGAAAAAAAAAATCATTTGTTTCGCTAACTTGACATCAAGTTAGCGAGACATTATCACTAAAAATGTCGGTAGTGAAAAATTGAATGAATGGAAATTTGCCGTTTTTTTGCCGCTAATTAGTTGTGAAAACCAAAAATTTGTCGCTTCTTTTTTTTTTACAAAAAATCAAGTTTCAAAAAAAATCACTAAAAATAACGGTAGTGATAAATTGAGTGAGTGGAAATTTGCCGCTAATTAGCTCTTTTTCTACAAGAAAATATCGCGTTTGAAAAAAATATCATGTATTTCGCTAACTTGACATCAAGTTAGCAAAACAGTATCAATAAAAATGTCGGTAGAAAATTTCATTCATCTGTCAAAACTGGTATTCGAACCATAAACTGGGCTCTGTGTCATTTGCGCAACAGTCGTTTGCGCGAGGGAGAAAAGCGCGATACTAAAAGCGCGAGGGACAAAAGCGCGACGGAACAAAAACGCGACTGCATAAAAGCGCGAGAAACAAAGGCGCGAGCGAGAAAAGCGCGAGAAACAAAAGCGCGAGGGACAAAAGCGCGACGGAACAAAAACGCGAAGGACAAAAGCGCGACGGAACAAAAACGCGACTGGAATAAAGCACGATTGGACAACAACGCGAGGTATCTAACTATCTACGAGGACTGTAAGCAAAAGAGGGACACATCAAATTGTATCAATAATAATCAGAAAAATGCAGCCTTACTCAAATTAACCCATACTAACCCGTTCGCCTAGTGCGATCTAGTCTTCGCTGAATAGAATTTTATTTGAAAAACAAGGCGCGGTCAAGGGACCCTACGCTATAAATAAATTGACTGTTTTTTTGGATAAAATGCTAACTTACGAGTACTGGATCGCACTAGGCGGACGGGTTATTTTGGGTTAGTTTGAGCAAGTCTGTATTTGCTTTATTATTATTGGTTCAAATTGATGTCGCAATACAGACTTACTCAAACTAACCCAAAATAACCCGTCCACCTAGTACGATCTAGTCCTCGTAAGCATTTTATTTAAAAAAGCAAAGTTAATTCACTGATTGCTCAGGGTCTCTTGAGAGCGCAGTATTTTTTAAATAAAATGCTTTGTTGCCTTTATTGATTTCAAGCGTGCTTTTGATAGCGTTAAACACTCACTACTTTGGAGAAAACTACATAGTTTTGGGGTTCCTCCCTCCTATATAAACATCTTAATTCAGATTTACTGTAACGCTTCAGCTAAAGTAAAATGCTCTGACGGACTTTCAGACCCAATTGGAATAAGTGAAGGCGTACTTCAGGGAGAACCACTATCCCCTTTTCTGTTTTTACTGTTTCTCTCTGATATCATACAGTTTTTTGAGGGTAAGGGAGCTAGGCTAATTAATATTGATGGTGTTAATGAACTTTTTATGCTGCTCTATTGTGACGACCTAATTGTTTTCGGGCTTTCAGAACGAGATCTACAATGCAACCTGAATATCCTGGCTGAGTATGTACAGGAGAACAATTTGGCAGTCAATGTTGCAAAGTCCAAAATAATGTGTTTCAGGAGAGGGGGTTTTCAAGCTAGTTACACCAAAAGATTTATTTTCAAAAACGAACCCCTTGAAATTGTCAATGAATATACATACCTTGGAGTCACTTTCACTGCATCTTCTAAATTTCGAATTATGGCAGACAAATCTGTCTCAAAATGCAAACAGGCCATTGGCGCGGCAGTTTCACATCTATCAAAGTCTAAATCATTTTCAATTACTTCAAGACTTAAAATATTTGAAACGTGTGTACTTAACATAATATCTGGGTCCGCACCCATCTGGGCCCTAAGATATCTAGACGTCCTTGAACAGATACAAACATCATTTCTCAAAAAATCTCTTTGCCTAAAAGCACCTCTTCAGCCATACTTCGCCTGGAGTTTGGCGTTTCTCCTATAGCGACAACTATACTTAAATGGACTCTCAACTTTCTCAAAAGGTTGCTCTCTATGGATGAAAGCAGATTACCCTTAATTTGCCTTAAAAGGCAACTACAGCTTATCGACTCGCCGCTAGCATATAACTGGCTATCGCAACTCAAATTGGTACTTACTGGAACAGGTTTTGATAATATTTTGATTAATAATTTAACACCAAGATTTGTAACTAGACGAAAAATCGATCAAATAATTGACAAATACCGAGAGCTATCCTTTCGGAAAGATATTGCTTTGGCTAGAGATTCCAGTTATATGACCTTTTATCCATTTTTATCAATAACAAAAAATCCAGCTACTTATTTAACATTTAGAGTACAAACATTTGTTTTGAAACTCATAGCGCAAACAAGACTTGCCAACAAATACCTATGTGCTTTTACCTTTAATTCTATCCTCTATAAACTTGACCCCCGCATAATATGTACAGTTTGTAACACCTCTGAACTAGAGACATTAGACCACATTCTTTTCAGATGTCCAATGTATAGAGAAGTCAGACCATTAACATGGTCGAGCCCTGACTCATTTCTCAATTTACTTGAAACCTTAGCTCCAGTATCTGCCAAAACATTTGCTTCCACCATAACGTCATTCCTCAGGCTTCGATCCTTTTTGATATCGCAGGATTAGAATTTGTTAGAAATATCAACTTTCTCTCTTTTTTTTGTTGTATAGACCCCTTCCATAGGTACTTTTATTAGGCACCAAAATGTGAACCCTTCTGGTTTTTAGTTTATACATAGAAATACAAGTAACTTTATCTTTCGCTTTGTAATTAGATTAAGATTATTTAGATTATTATTATTTTTTGTTCGTTTCTAATAACAAATACGTATCCAAATTCAAAACAAATTATATTCCCTCCTTTATAAGTTTATTTTTGCTTTTGTAATTCAAACCACTACGTTTACTAGATTTAGAGCACTCATTGTTATAGAAAATACTTTCTGGAAACAATAAAAATTGAATTGAATTGAATTGAATAAAATGCTAACTCACGAGGACGAGATTGCCCTAGACGGACGGGTTAGTTTGATTAAGTCTACATAATTTTGATTAATATTGGAAAAATTTGATGTTTCCCTCTTTTGCTTAGAGGTCGTCGTTGTAAATCACTCTTTTAATTTGTCACTGTTCTGAATCTCGTTCTTTACATATGTCGCTCTTTTGATATGTTGCTGTTTTTTTTAGATGTCGCTGTTCCAAATGTCGCTATTTTGATATATCGCTTTAACAATATGTCGCCTTTTTGATGTTGCTATTTTAAATATCGTTCTTTTGAACCGGAGCCACCGAAAATATCTTGTATTTTGGAAAACGATCTTCAGTTC